TTGCCCTCTATGCTCAGGGCTCACCGTGGCCGTTCAGAGGGGCACGCCTGTTATACTCTGTGCTTGCCCTCTATGCTCAGGGCTCACCGTGGCCGCTCAGAGGGGCACGCCTGTTCATACTGTGTGCTTGCCCTCGAGTGTGTCTTTGAACAGAAGAGTCTGTGGCTAAAAAGAATCTTGAAAACCTCCAAACTAGCTCGTTTTAAAGGTGTATCCCAATTCTGACTTTATGTAAAATATGGTGATTTCTAATTTGAGAACTACAGTCCTCACCAGAGACTAACAATTAATTTTTTTCCTACGTAGTTTGAAAAATAGTCAACGTGATTGACGGGATGGTTTTCAGAAGTCATTTAGCAGTAGTGCTCCTTTTTTTTTTTTTAACCAAACTAAATCTTTCAGATGTTTGCAGAATCTTGAGTTCTCCCATACCAAGTTTTTTGTAATGATCTGAGGACTACGGCTTTAGTGAGCTTGTGAAGTTCTGTGTTGGTGCAGCCCAACACAAAGCAGAGTGGAAAGGGCCCTGTGCTGGTGAGGCCATGGAGCAGCCACAACTCTCGACTGAGGGAGACCTGTGAATTAGTGCAGCCAGTTTAGAAAGCTGTTCAGTAGTATCTGCTAAAGCTAAACATACGCGTGCCCCTATATGCCCACCAGATGTGTGAAATGCATCCTCTAAGAACATAACGTGCATTAGAATGTTTATAATAGCACTGTGCATACCAGCTCTAAGCTGGAAACCCAAATGCTCACACTCCGGGAGAGTGAGTAGATCACAGCACGTTCGTACAGTGTGATTAATACTTCCTAGTAATAAAAAAGATCCGTCTATTGATGCTCCCTCAGCATAGAGGAAATCTCAGGGAGCCCTGGTGTGATTTGCTGCTTAGTATCAGTCACGCTCATCTGACAGACACATAATGCCCGTAACGTTAGACATAAAGCCAGAGCAAAAGAGAGCACGTCATGGGTTTTGCTTATATGAAGATCAGGCGTGCGAAAACTTAACATGGGGTTCATAGTCAGAGTAACGTTCCCCTTGTGGGGAGGGGGCCTGGAGGGGGTGTGAGGAGAGTGCTGGCATACAAGGGCATGTTTCACTGTGTGAGAATGTGTGGAGTAGTACCCTTACGATGTGCTTTTTGTGTATGTATTTAACATTGCAATAAGAAATTAAATGCAAAGATGAAGTTTTAAACGCTGCATGGGTGAAGCTGTTCTGCCTGTTTTCTTTGTGAAGGCCTGGTGTCCAGGAGCCAGGCTGCGGACGCGCCTGCCACGGAAGGGCCTAGGCCTCCAAGGTACGCACCTGCTTATGTTCTAAAGCTCAGTTAGTTCCACACAGAAACACACACACTTAAAAAAGGGAAGTAGCTCTGGGTTTAATTTATTGTTTTCTGTCAATCATGCTTCTTTGACACAGGAGCTGTAGTGCCTTATTTATTGGACAGTGTCAGAGAATGAGCTAATCCACAAATGTGAATTTTAAATACAACTGAAATTTGATTTGATCCTTTTTTTTTTTTCTTGGTAGTTTTTGGCCAGGGCTGGGCTTGAACCCACCACCTCCAGTATATGGGGTCAGTGCCCTACTCCTTTGAGCCACAGGTGCTGCCCTGAAATTTGATCCTTTTTAAAAATTATTAAAAAGTATTTTTTGGTCATAAAAATATATTAACAGTAGAAAACAGAAAGAAACAGAAAAGATAAAATCAGTTGTAATCTCACCAACACAGATACACACTTGGAACATTTACCCCTTCGAGTTTGATTCGTATGATACCAACTTCTGTATTACTCTGTTTTCATAATACAGTAGAACCTCCATCGTTACCACCTCCCTTCACTGACCACTTCGTTAGGTTGACCTAATTTCCACAAACCAGATGTGCCCCACGTGAGCACGTCAGCACAGGAGGCCTCGCTGCTCAGCGGGCTGCCTGTGTGCCGGCTGGCGGGTTTGTTACCGTCCCGGGTGGTCGGCTCCCGTGGGCTCTGCCGTGCTGTCGCTGGGATGGGTGAAGGTGATGAGCAAACACATTTCTTTATGCTCCTTAACAAAAACACATTGTTTTGTTACTCTGATAAAAGAAGATTTTAGTAAGGAAGTGTTTAATCTTTATAGAAAGTATCTTGTTATAAGGATATTTTGTTTTTATGTAAGTGGAAATACACAAAAATATAGATATTTGACATTTGGAAATAATTGTCATATAATGAACTTAACATGGTAAGACCACTATTATTTAGAAAAATGTTTAATCTAGAGAAATCTTTTTCTCACTGTAAATTTTAAGCATTATATGTTAACATGCATGAGTACAGATAGGATTATTCACTCATTTCTTAATATTTTACAGTTATGACTGGTTCCAAACAGACTCTTCAGTGACGATTGCCATATATACTAAACAGAAGGTAGGCACGTCTTTAACCGTTCCTGTGGTTCATATTGCAAGGGTACATGTCAATCTATTAAGTATAGCGTATAAAATGTCTTAACACAATAATTAAATAAACGAGGTGAGAGCTGTGTTAACCAGTTTGATGTAAGCAGTCTGGCTCCAGAGATGTGTTCTTAATAATCATGGCTGTAGTTTCTTAAAAACTAGACTAGGAAGGATCCTATGTACTTTTCTGTGATTTATTTCTTTTTTAAAGTATGGATAACAAAAGTGCATCCTGGATACCTTCCCAAGAACAGATTTCCTGAACACGTGTTGGGGTTGGAGAGCCTGCTTGCTGTGGTCAGTGTATTTAAATCACTGCACAACCAGGGGGCAGCAGCTGGGGCTCGGATGCCCTTTGAAGCTAAAGTCAGGGAGACGGTTCATTCACTAAGTATTTATGTGAGGCCTGCCTTCACGTCAGAGATGTGGTGGTAGGCGGGATGCAGAGACCTGGCTTTCACAGGGCTGACGGTCCCGCTGGGAATTCAGTCCACAAATGAGCAGACAGCTCACAACATGTCCAAACACATCCTTCAGCCACTGTGAGGTTCCTGTACTCTGAAGAACCATGTAGCTGGGAACTTTTAAGAATTTCTACCACTTCCATAGTAGCAGAATCATCTTCAACCAGCAGGTCCCTCTGACTCTTGCAGCATGATCTGGCCATTTCAGAGTGACTGCCTCTGCCCAGCACAGCCCAGAGGACCCAAGGCGCTGCTGGTCTCCCTACCCACCCTTGCTGCTGTCCTCTTGTGCAGTCTGAGACCAGGAGCTCCTACTGATGATCCCGTGTTTCCCTGAAAATAAGACCTACCCAAAAAATAAGCCTGAGCAGGATTCCTATGCATTTGTTAAATATAAGCCCTACCCAGATACTAAGACCTAGTGATGGGCGTGGATATGTAGCATATCTGCGTAACCACGCCCTACATTTCTACGTGGAGCAGTAAGGAAGACTGGAATATCCTTTATCTGCCACAGCTCCTTCCTCCAAGCTGTTCGCACTTGGCATGGGTGCACGTGTGGTAGCCAGGGTCGCAGGCATCCTATTGCGCACATACAGATGGCTAGGGGAAAAAAGTCCACGCATCATTAGCGCCAGCCCCACCAAGGTTGGCTCCCCCGTCAGGTTCCAGAAGAGGATGACTTAACTGTATTTGAATAAATGTAGGTTGTTGTATTATACTTAATAAAAATAATATATCCCCTGAAAATAAGCGCTAGTATGTCTTCTTAAGAAAAAATAAATATAAGACAGTGTCTTATTTGGGGGGAATCACGGTATCCATGAAGCATAGAGGAGGGGCGGCTAAGGGAAGGGGGACGATTTCCACAGGAATAGAAAGTTCAGTGTATGGCACAGATGACAGAAAGCAAGAAACTTCACAGCAAGGCTGTGTAGAAGTTAGAGACATTCAAAAAGTATTAGCGAATTGACTTTTTTGATAAGCTGAGGCTGAGAGGCTGTGTAACTAGCATCACACTCTAGTGTGAAGATTAAAATGAATATCTAAGTATATCCTGGATATCTAGAATCTGGTCTGATAGGAATTTTTTCCTGCATTGCTTATTCAACAAGCACTTAGTGGACACCTTTTACTTGCCAAGCAGCCTTATAAAGACAGTCCCTTAAGCTTAGAGACTAGTGTGTAAAATAGTGACTAAAGAGAGACTGGTGTGGAGAAATTAAAATTGTGATCTGTGCTTTGAAGAAGAATTGGATTAAGTGAAAGAAAAAAACAGTAGTAAAATTTATTTAACATGGGGATTCAGTAAAGAATCTGCATATGAACTTCCGTGGGTCACCTTAGAAATATAGCTGTAGATATTTGGGGAAAAGTTTTGCTTTCTAATCTTTCTGTTTTTGCTTTCTGTTTAAGGATATCAGTTTAGACTCAATAATAATTGATAATCAGGATGATTCCTTCAGAGCGGAAACAATTATCCAGGATTATTCGTATCTTATACATATAAGTGAGTACTTTATTTTTATTAATAGAAACCGCTCCAGTCTCAGGTCTGGATAAGTTGGTCTACAGTCAAGGTCACTATAATATTTTATATACTGTTGTCATTTTAATTTGTCATTTTTGATCATTTTTTCCCCTGTTATTTCTTTATACTAAAAAAATTGTATAGTAAATAGCAATCTGACCTCACGTTTCCAAGTGTAAGTGGTCGGATGCGGTCAAGGTCAGTAACAGCATGTCTGTGGGTCACGTGCTCCTGCTGAGCACCGTCCGTCCCGCCCGGTCGTGTCGCCGGCCTGTTACTCCCAGCTCTGCTGAGAGCCGCTGGACTGCAGATCTGTGCTGTGCCCCTGGGCTGCCTGTCCCTTCATGGCTACAGACCACTTTGTATTGTTTGGTCGGGATAAGTGGAGAAGGTGGGGAAAACTGAGGGACCCCTACCCACACCAGGATATAGATGAAAAAACAGAAGTTCCATAGTCAAAAATAAGAAATTCTTAGTTGCCACTATCACATTGGAAGGACTGAAGTAATGCAAATTATAAGTTCCAGGTAACCATACGAACACAGTGAGATTTAGCGTAGACTAAATATTTGTAAAAATATTCCTTGCTTCTCCCTCTTCTAGAATCTAAGTTCCTTAAGGGAAGAGATTTTTCTTTGTCATTAATTGTGTCTGTAATATCTAGAAAAGTGCCTTTGGCACATACATGCTCAAGTTTTTTTTTCATCTTTAGAGAACAGTAAGAAAAGAAAAACAAAGCTAAGTCCAGGGTTGGCCTTTGTACACACCTGCATGGATATACACATAGACATGTGCACATGCACACACTCACACATACACACACAGACACTTGTGCACATGCACACACTCACACATACACACACA